ACATCATCGTGCTGAGTAACACCTTCCAGGAACATCTCACTCATTTACGCGAAGTGTTTCGTCGCCTTCGGGGGGCCCGGCTGCGACTCAACATCGACAAATGCCAGTTTTGCTGCGCCCAAATAAAATACCTCGGTCATCTGATCAACAAGGAAGGCATCCATACCGACCCTGGGAAGACCAGCGCTATTGCCGCATGGCCTACACCCATCAACGTGAAGAAAGTGAGACAATTCCTAGGCCTAGCATCGTGGTACCGCCGATTCGTACCGAATTTCTCCCGGCTCGCAGCACCACTCGCGGCTGACCAAAAAGAAAGAACGATGGAGGTGGCACGACGAGGAGGTCGACGCCTTCCAACGACTAAAAGACGCTCTCATTACCGCACCAGTGCTGACCTGTCCAGATTTCGCACAACGATTCACTCTCCAAACCGACGCCAGCCAGTCCGGCCTGGGAGCCGTACTGACCCAGGAGACTGAAGAGGGAGAAAAGGTCGTCGCCTACGCCAGTCGAACCCTGAACAATGCCGAAAGGAATTATAGCGCCACCGAACTGGAGTGTCTGGCCGTGGTCTGGGGCATCCGCAAGATGCGCGAATACCTCGAAGGGTACACATTCACCGTCCTCACCGACCACCAGTCGCTGAAGTGGCTGCAGAAAATTGAATCACCGACCGGCCGACTCGGACGTTGGAAGTTCGAACTCCAACAATACGACTTCGAGATCCGCTACCGACGCGGATCCAGTAACCAGGTAGCCGATGTCCTGTCCCGAGAACCTGAAGTGGCTGTTATCACCAGCCATCCGACCTGTTCCTGGTACGAGAACCTCAAGGCCCAAGTCACAGCACACCCAGACGCACATCCTGACTACGACCTGCGAGACGGCCACGTGTTCCGACATTTTCTACATAATCTCGACTTCCGGGAAGTTCCAACCGCCGCACAATGGAAGAGATGCCTACCCACAACCGAAAGAACATTAACGCTCAAACGAATGCACGACGATCCCGCTGCCGGACATCTCGGCATCGCCAAAACCATCATACGCATCGGCGAACATTACTACTGGCCCGGCATGGCCCGCGATATCGCCCAGTATGTCCGAAAGTGCCCCACCTGTTTAGCACACAAAGCCGGACAACAGAAACCACCCGGCCTACTCCACGCCACGGCAGTGAAGCACCCCTGGGAACAGGTGGCCATCGACTTGGTGGGACCCTTGCCGCGTTCTCGTCAAGGACACACGTGGTTACTTACCATGCAGGACCGCTTCACCAAATGGCTGGAAGTCAAAGCACTTCGAGTGGCAACGGCCCCAGTGATCGTGACCCACATCATCGACACCATTATTTATCGACACGGATGCCCGGACACCATTATCTCCGACAACGGCCCACAATTTGGTGCCAAGGAATTCCAGGAGATGTGCAAAAATTTTGGCATCCGCCACCGCACCACACCTATCTACACACCACAGTGCAATCCCGTGGAGCGTACCAATCGCACCATTAAAACAATGATCGCCCAATATGTCGATAAAAAGCATCGCCGCTGGGACGAACACTTGGGCGCTCTCCGATTCGCATTTAATACCGCCCAACATGACGCTACCCGATTCAGCCCAGCGTTCCTGAATCACGGACGCGAACTGGCCCGACCACACCAAGAAGACTGAAGGGACAAACCTCCCGTTCCGCCACCCTCCACCGTGGCGAAGGTATTGACCGTAACACACGAGCTCGTGAAAATGCATCTCGCCCAAGCATTTCAACGACAGGAACCTCATTACAATTTACGGAGGAGAGCATGGAGCCCACAACTCGGAGAAACAGTATGGAAAAAGGAGCACCTTCAATCCGACAAGACGAAGGCATTCAATGCCAAACTTGCGCCAAAATATAGCGGACCGTTCACCGTGAAGAAAATACATTCTCCAGTAATCATCGATTTGAAAGATGAACGAGGCCGAATTTATAAAAACATACACGTGCACGACATGCGCGTCGCACCGGATAACAAAGACCGAGAAATCAACACGATCACGTTCCCAACGACAGGTAGCGAACATCGACAAGATTGACCGATCTCCCCGAAACAAGCCGTAATTTACAGCCTAACGACTATAAAAGCAGAGAGGATCAAGCACACGGGACAGTCAATCGTTAATATGGAGCTCGACAACTATATTGACGAGCTGGCCGAGCTTCTACTAAAAACCGACGACGACGCCGCCGCCATATGGCGCCGGGTCACCGAGACTGCCGAAAAGGGGAGCCCGCCAGACCGAGGGGGAACCTCTGCCGAGCATCGCCCCGAGGATCCGAAAGTAGCCACGCCAACGCTTCCGGCACCCGCAGCGACTCCGCCGACGATCATCCACGTCTCAACGACCGAACCACCACCGCTGGCACCGATAACGGCCAAGCCCGGTCCTAGCCTCCAGAGGAAGATCGAGGAACCGACCGCACGGAAAAAGGGGAGTTGGCGGGTGCCCACCCCACCAACGCTCGGACGCCGAATCGGCCGGCCGAGAAAAGGGCCCCAGATTCGCCCAGCGCCACCTGGGCTTGTTGACGTGGCACGAAGACGCGAGATCGAGGCTCCGCACGGAGCTCCCCCTTCCGTCGTCGTATCCACCACGACCACCAGGCGGACCATTCCGGTCATCACGCTCGACGAGCAAGGGGAGGATTCCTCGACGGCCCCGGCGCCGCCACCTCGCGACATGCCACTACTGGGCGAGGACGAGCCGCAAACTCCAGCAATGAGCAAAATCCAGCCGGGACCGGTGATCAAGAGTAACGTGCCGTTCAGGGGCACCATGCGACTCATCCGAGACACCCCGCTACCGCAAGCCAGGGTGCAGCCTACCATCCAGCCGCCAGTGCAAGGCCCCGCACTACCGCCACCAGTACCTATCTTGCTGCCGACCGGTGAAATATGGCACGTGCCATATTTTTCCATCCACGTTTCCCGGAAATACCGTCTACGGACGCTGACCGGACGATGGAGCCTGCGGTTCACACGCAACGGGCAGTTGCGTGCCGCCAACCGTATCCCCGGTTAAAAAGCTACATACCAGAAAGGGGGAAAACGAGAAAAAAAGGGGGGGTGGTGTAACGAAACAAAAATCTTTGTGCCGTTACGCTGACTACCGCCTAGCAGCACGCGACAGTCAGCTGAGCGCACACCCCCCAACCCGCGCTGACACCGCGCCTAAACGTCGCGCTCGGCCGAATATGCCCGACTACCAGGCAACGACGCTCGGGCACGATCGGCCGCCGAACCGAGCTAGCGGCACCGCCGAAGTTATTCGGCAGACGCCGCATAATCACGATTAATTCCGATTAAAAAGCGGAATTAACTCCGATTAAGGGCGAGGAAAACCGAAGCCCCAAAATCTCGGGTATATAACCCCGGCAGATTTTGACGAGAGAGAGTCTCCAGAGTTCCGTTTCCGCGGCTAGTTCTTTCCGAGAGAGGATCAACCGAGAAGCTTCTGCCGAAATTCGTAAGTTAGTTACCAGGCCGTCTACGACGGTGATTAATAATACCTGTTCTTTGGGCTATAAAGATCGGACGGCGAGTTTGCCGTCGCCCCGGTGTGTTCACCGGAACGATCTTATTTTGTGCCGTCTTTGCGATATAAGGAATCGGACGGCGAGTTTGCCGTCGCTCCGGTGTGTTCACCGGAACGATCTTCTTTTGTGCCGTCTTTGCGATATAAAGGATCGGACGGCGAGTTTGCCGTCGCTCCGGTGTGTTCACCGGAACGATCTTATTTTGTGCCGTCTTTGCGATATTTCGTGCCGTCTTCGCGATATAAGGATCGGACGGCGAGTTTGCCGTCGCTCCGGTGTGTTCACCGGAACGATCTTATTTTGTGCCGTCTTTGCGATATTTCGTGCCGTCTTCGCGATATAAGGATCGGACGGCGAGTTTGCCGTCGCTCCGGTGTGTTCACCGGAACGATCTTATTTTGTGCCGTCTTTGCGATATTCCGTGCCGTCGCTCCGGTGTGTTCACCGGAACGATCTTATTTTGTGCCGTCTCTGCGATATAAAGATCGGACGGCGAGTTTGCCGTCGCTCCGGTGTGTTCACCGGAACGATCTTCTTTTGTGCCGTCTTTGCGATATAGGGGATCGGACGGCGAGTTTGCCGTCGCTCCGGTGTGTTCACCGGAACGATCTCACGATATCTCTTTCTTAATTTCATCAAATAGGACACCAGGAAGGCAAGAGCTGATCAGCTGTGAGTTGACGCGTCGGTCCAGCACACAAGGAATACTCCCATCGCCCGCACCCCTCGACCCCCGGGGCGATCAACGCTGCGGCCGAGGACAAAAGCGAGCGCGACGTGTCGCGACACGTTCTTATACCGTTTTTTTCCGACCCGTCGTCAAGTCGCGTGCCGAATCACCCAAGCTAGCGCTTTAAATCACAACGGAAACACACACCGCGCGGTCACTAATCAGTGGCTCGACCCTCATCCTCGGTGCGTGTCAAGCGCCGTCCGAAATAATTACAGAAATAAGCCCCAAGCAAATCGCTCACCTACCACGGTGACCCCGCGGGGCTCGTAGCGTCCGCGGAAACGATTCACGCAATCACCTAACACCCAAACATTGGGACGTCGCGTCACGGCACGCGGTCGTGACGGGCAAATAAAGACTTATTGTGTTATATTTATTTTGTCTCCGCTTATTGACACATATACACACCACACACACACCTTCACCTGAAAATCTTTCCTGTGGTCGGCTCGCAAACCGCGATCCAAGCCACAGGGCCGGATCAACCCGAAACAACCGAGCCTGGAGGCGCGACCGTTACATACTCGCGATCCGGATCAGGATCGTAGAGATCCTCGTCTATTTCGCTACTGTGAATTGGTTAGTCTCGCGCGGTATCGAATCGTTCTCCGAAACGATCGCGGGTGTTGAAAGTTGCGGAATGCATGGATCTCGCGTCGTCTTTAACCTCAATGAACTCACCACTACCGTAGCCCCGTTGCAATCGGTACCTGCTCCATGCCTCGGCTCTCATTTTCGGCGGTTCGCTCGTAATCTTGCGTGTTTTGTCCGCCTCGAGGGTTTTTAACTGAGAAGCCATGCCTCTGATCAGTTCTTTCATCTCGTCGACTTGTTCGCTGATCTCGGTTAGCCGCGAGTCTTTCGCGAGTTTCAGCGATATGTTTAGAATCGCGGACTTTACCGTGCTGCTTAAGATAAAATTTTCGCCAAAGCCCCAGTTCGTCTGGTTTGGCCCGGCGATCGTGCTTCCGAACGTGGCTCTGTCGGTTTCGATGCTATCGAACGCGGTCGAGCGTACGACTGGCTGTGTCAGAACGCTCCCTTCCGACGCGGTTCTAGCTAATATCGGGCCTCCGATAGACACGAAAGATGGTTGTTTGAGTAGCGGCTGCGAGAGTCCGTACGCACGCTCCGATCGCGTCGCGGGTCTCGCTTCGTTCGAAACGAGTTCGTTCTTCTCGTCCGCAACTGACATGTTTCTGGGTTTGCTCTACGGAACTTCTGAATTTTTCGCACCGTTACGCGTGGTGTTGGAACATTCGAGGTTCTCAAGTAGCACCTAGCAAGCCAAACTATATGGTTTCTGCGCGAGTAGCTGGTCTAATGTATCGTTCAACTCGCGATCGCGTGATTTTGATCCGAGGATCCTCTTAAATCTATATACTACGAATAATGTGATGCGAATAATACAATAAATGTCCTGTAGATAAGGTGGTTATTGTAGCAACGCTACTACTAAGGATATATACACATGGCCACTAAATACTGTTAAAATATTCTTAAAACTAGGTGTGATTAAATATGACGAATATGTATGCAACTTAAATACTACTGGAATATACTAGAATATATGTATTTGGAACTCGTGTTTTTGTATTTTTCCGGTTATTCATAACATATACAAGATATAATGATATATATTTAGGTTATAGGTCCTCTAACTATTTAATAATACCTCTAAATGTGGATAAATAAAACGTTAATATGATAATATGAAACAAAATTAAGTTTCACGGTGGGACTACTTCCGTGATCTCAAGTGGTACTCTTGTCCCTTGTTCTTTATCAAGAATCTTTTTGTACGTTAATATTATTTACTTTACCGGATTTTTCGATATCGCACTTAAATGTACGTTAATATTCTCAGTTTCTACGAGAATTTATCGAATTATATCCGTACAGAGATCTAAAACTTTTATTTATAGGTTAGCAGATATCTCAAAGGCTAAAAGTTGTACAAGTCGTAACTCGGTAATTTATCAAAGGCACGGTAGTGCCTCGTGCCAAGTTCAAGCGCAACGAAGCTGCGTCTGAACGGCGCGAGGCACACCATGCCTATTATACGCGAAACTGCGAGTTAAAACGAGGTGAGATATTCATATCTCAGCAATAGATGAACCGATCGAGATTTTTTAGTCCCAATCGATTCGGTCTTAAAAAGTAGGAAGCAAAATGTTGTTATGATTTTTGTGTACGTTGTCTCTAAGTGGAGGTATTTTAAGTAAAAGTCCGAATCACGGAAATTTTCGATTCAGTAAGAAAGTAAGAAAGTAAGAAACTTCGGACGCATAAGAGTGAGGATATGTGCATCTCGTTTTTCCGACACCAGGGGCGCTACGAGAGCGCTGAACAAGCAGATATTAGCGAATGCGAGCGTGTAAGCGAGGGATATGCTGTAGAATACAATATAGGACAAAATGTGCGAGAGAGAAAGTGAGAGAGAGGAATGAGAGAGGAGTGACAGCCAGAGAGAGAGAGAGAGAGAGAGAGAGAGAGAGAAAGAGTGAGAGAGAATATAAAATAAATATATATAGTTACGTATATACGTACATACGTACATAATCATTTTTAGGTATTTTCCGCATCTACGTCTACGTGTACGACAATATATTTTATATTAAATAGCAGCGAATGCGAGCGTAAGCGAGAGATATGCTAGAATACAGTACAGGACAAAATATGCGAGAGAGAGAGTGAGAGAGTAGTGAGAGCGAGAGAGAGGAGTGAGAGAGAGAGAGAGAGAGAGAGAGAGAGAGAATGTAAAATAAATAGATACACTTACGTATATACGTACATACATATGTACATATACGTACATACCAGGTGTGTCGGTAATTCCTTTCCGGTTTTTTCGCTAAAGAAAACACGTTATTTACAATGGATAGTTAAAATATATTTATTCAAAGTATTGGCCATTTGATTTTATACATTTTGCCAATCTCTCAGGCAATTTATGGATGCCATTCCAAAAGAACTGTTTCTCCTTTGAGCTAAACCATTCATCGAGCCGTTTTTTAACTTCTTCGAAATCGGCGAAGTACTGCTCTGCAAGCACGTGCATCGATGCGAAAAGGTGGTAGTCGGATGGAGCCAGGTCTGGAGAGTACGGCGGGTGCGATAAAACTTCCCATCCAAGTGATTTCAACACTTCTTTGACTGGTTTTGCTGTATGAGACGGCGCGTTGTCATGCTGCAAAATCACTTTATCATGTCTTTGAGTGTATTGTGGACGTTTTTCGATCAATGCACAGTTCAAATTGATCATTTGTTGTTAGTAGCGATCAGTATTAACTGTTCCTCCAGGTTTCAACAGTTTATAATATACGACACCAACCTGGTCCCACCAGATACAGAGCATGGTCTTACGACCAAAGCGATTTGGCCTTGCAGTCGATGGGCCGCCTTCGCCAGGTGATAACCATGATTTTTTTCGCTTGGGATTTTCGAAATAAATCCATTTTTCATCACCCGTTACTATTCGATGCAGAAATGACTTCCTTTCATACTTTTGAAGCAGCATTTCGTTGACGATTTTTCGATTTTCCAATTGCCTGTCATTCAATTCATGTGGCACCCATCTTCCCATCTTTTGGATTTTTCCCATCGCTTGTAATCGTTCACAAATTGCTACTTGGCTCACATTCAACTTTTCTGCCAATTGTTTTTGAGTTTGTGTTGGGTCTTCATCCAATAACTCCTGCAATTCCGCATCTTCAAACGTTTTCGGCCTACCAGGACGTTTTTTGCCTTGAACGTTGAAATCACCACATTTGAATTGTCGAAACCACGTTTCACATGTTCTTATGGTTGGAGCATGCTAACCATAAGTCTCTACCAGCAAACGATGACTTTCAGCAGCTTTTTTCTTTTGATTAAACAAGAAAAGTAACGCGTGCCGCAAATGCACGTTTTCAGGCACAAAACTCGACATTTTCAAAAAATTATTAATCTATAACGCTGTTATTTTGGCGGAACGTAACTTGTGTAGTTTTGAGCTTAATGTCAGTAGAATAAAATGACATATGTATCAAATCATAACATTGCATACTTATGGCTAGTGACATCTGTTACAAAAACCGGAAAGTAATTACCGACATACCTGGTACGTACATAATTATTTTTTAGGTATTGTCCGCGTCCATGTTTACGTGTACAATATATTTTATATTAATTAGCAGCGAATGCGAGTATGTATGCGAATTATATGTTAGAATACAGTATAGGACAAAATGTGTGTGTGTGTGTATGTGAGAGAGAGAGAGAGAGAGAGAGAGAGAGAGAGAAGAGAGAGAGAGGAGAGAGGGGGTGAGAGAGAGGGGGTGAGAGGAGAGAAAGGGGGGAGCGAGAGAGGGAGAGAGAATGAGGAAGAGTATGAAGGAATGAGAGAGTGAGGGAGTGAGGGAGTGGGAGAATGAGAGAGTGAGAAAGTGTAAGATATACGTATACTCAGAGGCAGGTATGGTATCCCTCGGCGATGTCGTATATGCCTGTAAAACAATAGAAAGTGATGACAGGCATATACGCATACGCATATGGGCGTACAATACAACGCGAGAGAAGCGAAGGAGAAGTGGTGGGAGACATTCCGATGATGCATCCTTATCGCACGTCGCACGATCGAGAGAGAAAGCATTACCAGACGTGGTACGGTTAATGGTGTCCCCAGTAGGTGTCTCATTCACTCTACGCTTGAATGCAGGCAATATGAGTGAGACAGCTATACAAACACCGCGCTGTCTCTTTAGGTGTCTTGCTCGCTCTAATAGCGATGTATCGCACTTTCCTCTTTTCTCTTTAGCAGAAATGCCGATTTAGGAGGCAATCCTGTCTGTAGTCCAGAAAAATAAGCTATTTCCGCGAATTTTTTTTTCGGAAACTAAGCAGACGATTGATTTCAAACTTGATAGAAATAATAATATATATTTTATTGATGAGAATGAATTTTTATAGCGTTATAAAAGAGAAAAGCGCGATACATGGCTATTACAACGAGTGAGACACCTATAGAAATAGCGCGGTGCATATAAAAAATTAATATTTTTTTATTTCGCTAGTTCACACGATAGTTAGACATGTTCTGAATATGTAATTAGATGCCGAAGTCGATCGATCGATTTTTTATAAAAAAAAAAGTTTTTTCTCTGATTTAAGGAGATGCTATATAACGTCTCGTTATTATTATTGTAATTTTTATTATTATTAAATGTCTCCTAGTTTTTTCTTGTATTTTCAAGAGCGGAGCCTATGTTTTAAGTAGCATTTTAAGGAAGATGTTGCATTTATTCTCCCTCCTTCTCGTAGTCTTTCCAAAAGTGAAGATGTTGCGTCTAAAAAAAATTGCACAATTTGACATATCTTACGGCATAAATTAAGTTTTTTCGTAAAGAGCATAGCAGGATAAGCATGTATGTGCTGCCCCCGCTTGGATCTAGTTGAGATTTTTACAATAAGTTGACATTGATGTAAGATAATATTTCCCAAGAGATTATATTTAAAGAAAATTGTTTTATGGGAATTATGGAGGTAGAAAGAAAAATCGATAAAAATTTTTTTCTCGGGAACGGCCGAACCGATTTTGATGAAAAAATATGTGTTATGGGTTTCAATGCCACAATATTATAACAAAATAACGGAATTTTTTTTCAAAAAATACAGTTTAAAAAAACTTTTCAGAATCATTTTGAATTTTTTTTATGTTATACACTTGAGGCACTATCACCATTTTCTCCCTAAAAAAATCTTTAGATATTCTAGAATAACATGTCCGAGTTTCAAAACGATCGGAAGGGTAGTACATAGTTTTAAAATGTGAAGATCTTGAGTGCGTCACGTACGGCGTATGATGCGCTGTATAGTCCTTTGCTCTGTATGCAACAGTATCTTATGATTCATTGTGTGACTAGGAATAGTTAAATAACTGGCCAAATTTTTTTTTTAGACTTAAAGTACAAAATATTTTGTTTAGTATAACGGCAATAATTGTTTGAAGAATTGAAAGTTGAAGTGAATTGTTTGCAGAATTGTATAATTTATCTGGCCAAGTCATTTATTCTAAATCTGGCTAAATCTCTAAACCTCCTCACAATTTACAAACTGAAAACGGACAAATTGAAAATAAATCTATACAATTTTTCATTCAAATGCCTGCGATCAGTCCACAATAAATGTAGTTTCTAAGGTCTGCTACGGGGAGGTTGCAGTACGTTTTTAGCCTCTTTATTGTGAGATATTTGTTTATCGTGAGTCTCCTCGCCTTTCACAAATCGAGGTG